TTTTTTTTTTTAACAACATTAGGATTCTATATTTGGGTAAAAGTATCGTGATATTCTGTATATGTGTATATATTCTGATACACATATTCTGATTCAAAATTTTTTAAAGAGTTAATAGACAATGCAATAAACTGAACACAAGGACTATGGAGAGAGAGCACAATTTCTTTGCCTGTCAATTAGAAGTTTTCAAGATCTTACATTGTATGTGGATCCTATGAAAATCAATAATATTTATATAGAATGGGTACAGAATTCCATATAAACTATGTTTTGAGCATAACAGTGATGGAAACTTTCAGTAATTTAAATTTTAAAATTTCAATTTAAGCAAAACCAACCATAGCCTATCAATTTTTAATGTATTCTTTACATACACATTAAAATTAGAGCATGAACAATAGATACATGTGTGGCACAAATGTCCAGAGGTAAATCTTCCAAGTAGAAATAGATAACTTGTTATATATGTAAAACTTCAAAGTGTGAGATATTTCCACCCTGATATCAAACTGTTTCACAGGGAATACTGGTATCTTAAAAGAATGTTCACTGGCCATGATTAGCATATGGTTAAGGTATGGCACAGGTGTAAAAGAAGAAAGGCCATGTGCCTGTGTTCCTTTGAATCACAAAGAATTTTAGGTTTCAGGTCATAACCACAACTAATGAAGAATTACTCCTTCAAAAGCATATTTGGCCTCCCATTAAAGGATTGACCCTAATCACTCTTTGAACTTCAGTCTGGGAAAGGCATGTTATGCCTGAGCCCTTAAGAATTCTCTCATTACTGGACAAAGAAGAGTAGAAATGAGTATAATTTTTCAAATATGTTTTTCTTTTCATGATCTTTCCATTTTAGGCATTGGCTTCATGGAACTATTATACATGTGATAACTTCTTGGTGACACTATTTAGAGGGGAAAAAAGAAACTGTTAAAACGGCATCAGTATGTTAATGAACACAAAATATTCTCATAAAGTAGATTATGAATTTGAGTGTTTCATTAGAAAACACATCCTTCCTTTATTCTATTAGAATAACATTTGGAGGTTCCAACAAGGAAAATGTGTTACAAGGAAGAGTGTAATAATACTGACTACTCATTGCAACATCTATGCTTGAAAGTTATTTACCAGACTTAAAGTTATGAGAAAACGTAAGCTGTTGATTTACCACTTAAAGTAGCTTATATGTTTTAATACACCCTGTTATTCCTAAAGATATAATATGAAATCTTTTTTTTTTTTTTTTTTGAGACAGGGTCTTGCTAAGTTGCTGAGGGTGGCTTTCAACTTGTGATCCTTCTGCCTCAGCCTCTGGAGCAGCTGGGATTACAGGCATGTGCCATAAGCACCTGGTTGACAGAAAATCTCTTATTGTTGAGTTTGACCCAGGTGAATCCTACTAATGCTTGAGGAAATGACATAAACATCAAGTTGATATGTAGTTAGTAAAGAAAAAAATTTAAAAAGTACCAGGATACAGCCCCTGGATATCGTTTCTTAGGCTAAAAGGCTAAAATTAGAAAATTGCAATTAACTTTGACTATGGGTTGATAAGGGAATTATCACAGTACTATCAATCACAGATCTAAAAAGAATATGTTACAAAATAAGTGATAAAAGATATACTGGAAGACAACCATTAAAATTGGTCAATAAACCTTTCGGAAAAGTTTAGACATTGAGCCATTTAGAGATGTAAAAAAATTATTAAGGTTGCTGTTCCACTAATGGAAACATCCCTAAAGCCTATTTATAAATGGAATAGAATGTGTGACTCTTGAAAATGTAGAGCAAAAGTCATTTAACTAGAGCCAGGTACCAACCATCTTGTAAATGGGTTGATTTACATTCATTGTTTAGCCTTTGTTGATATCCAGGGGAATTACAAGTACATGAGAAACCACCCTGTTTAAATTGAGCAAACCACAGGAGTAATTTATTATGTAATGCAAGCCAATGTTTTCATATTTTATAGAGAATAAACACCTTTATTGTAGAGAATAAACATATTTCATATATTGTAGAGAATAAATAGTAGAATAAACAGCACAGAAAACCAAAGAGAATAACCCATAGTTATTAGCACATGGCTAGCAGTAAAATTAATCAATGGAGTAATCAACTGTATTTATTAGGGCTTGTTGTGGGCTAGGCATTAGTATTTAGTGTCAGGGAACAAAGACAAACAAGACATGGTCCCAGAATTCATGTGCCCATTTTTTGGGTTATCTAGCATCTAATCTAGAGCTGAATGGGTCATGAATAATATTATAAAAGTGGGCCATACACAATCTTTTAAGAGAAATTTCTTTTCAATGACAACAGTTACCTTGTTGTTATGTAAATATAAGGTTTTGTGAATTTATTGCTTTTTACAAACATTAAGGAATTAACATTCCTAAAATTGATTTGGTTAGTCAAATGTGAAAGCCATAAATGTAAAAAATTAATAAGGTCAAGCAGGTCATGTTTTACAAATATATATTCATGTAGCAAAAATTATTTCAAGATGAGTCATTTTTATAGTCAGTAGATAATACATGATATCATAAATGATTGATTGAAAGCATCATTCTTTACTTTTTTCAGTCAATTTAGTCTTGTAAACAATTAAACATTTACTAAATTTAAGTAAAAGTGATGAGGGAGAGGACCAAAAGCCACTTTGGTATAAAAATGGAACTATGATTCTCAGTTTAATGTAATGAGATTTTCTGCCACTGACCTGGCAGCATTTAAGAGTATAATCCACAAGTATCAAAAGGGATTATTTCTATAGTGAAAATATACTCCTCTGTGACAATGAGGTATAACTTGGTAATAAGCATAATGCATATTAATCTCCACAAAACATTGTCATGCCAGCAATATTTTAGGAGATTGGTTAAAATGTTAGAAAATATTTTCGAGAATTTATTTAGGGGTACCAATTCTGTTTTGTGTAGCTTTGGAAAACAATAATTTTTTTCCAATTTAGTTTTATGTATACAACAATGAGAAGCAATTTAAGCTTCTCATGGGCCATTTTTATCCATCCTTGTAGAAGATTTTTTTTTTTAACAACATTAGGATTCTATATTTGGGTAAAAGTATCGTGATATTCTGTATATGTGTATATATTCTGATACACATATTCTGATTCAAAATTTTTTAAAGAGTTAATAGACAATGCAATAAACTGAACACAAGGACTATGGAGAGAGAGCACAATTTCTTTGCCTGTCAATTAGAAGTTTTCAAGATCTTACATTGTATGTGGATCCTATGAAAATCAATAATATTTATATAGAATGGGTACAGAATTCCATATAAACTATGTTTTGAGCATAACAGTGATGGAAACTTTCAGTAATTTAAATTTTAAAATTTCAATTTAAGCAAAACCAACCATAGCCTATCAATTTTTAATGTATTCTTTACATACACATTAAAATTAGAGCATGAACAATAGATACATGTGTGGCACAAATGTCCAGAGGTAAATCTTCCAAGTAGAAATAGATAACTTGTTATATATGTAAAACTTCAAAGTGTGAGATATTTCCACCCTGATATCAAACTGTTTCACAGGGAATACTGGTATCTTAAAAGAATGTTCACTGGCCATGATTAGCATATGGTTAAGGTATGGCACAGGTGTAAAAGAAGAAAGGCCATGTGCCTGTGTTCCTTTGAATCACAAAGAATTTTAGGTTTCAGGTCATAACCACAACTAATGAAGAATTACTCCTTCAAAAGCATATTTGGCCTCCCATTAAAGGATTGACCCTAATCACTCTTTGAACTTCAGTCTGGGAAAGGCATGTTATGCCTGAGCCCTTAAGAATTCTCTCATTACTGGACAAAGAAGAGTAGAAATGAGTATAATTTTTCAAATATGTTTTTCTTTTCATGATCTTTCCATTTTAGGCATTGGCTTCATGGAACTATTATACATGTGATAACTTCTTGGTGACACTATTTAGAGGGGAAAAAAGAAACTGTTAAAACGGCATCAGTATGTTAATGAACACAAAATATTCTCATAAAGTAGATTATGAATTTGAGTGTTTCATTAGAAAACACATCCTTCCTTTATTCTATTAGAATAACATTTGGAGGTTCCAACAAGGAAAATGTGTTACAAGGAAGAGTGTAATAATACTGACTACTCATTGCAACATCTATGCTTGAAAGTTATTTACCAGACTTAAAGTTATGAGAAAACGTAAGCTGTTGATTTACCACTTAAAGTAGCTTATATGTTTTAATACACCCTGTTATTCCTAAAGATATAGTGGTTTGCCATCAGGAAGACATACAGTAATGAACATATTTAGTGGTGATACTTTGAAAAACTATCAGGCAAAAAAACAGGAAAAAGGAATGTCAGCTTCTTTTCTTGTACAGAAGTTTGTAAAAATTTAAGGTGCCACTCTATAAAGGTCAAGTAGGTCATGACTGCCTTGTTTAATACACACATATCATTTTTAGACACCCCTTCACATGTCTGCACGAACAAAAGAAGCAAATACTCCATCTTCCCGGGCCAAGAGGCTTTCTGGAGTGTCATATTCCAAAATATTTCCTCTCTTCATCACAATAACCAGATCTGCCGTCAGAATGGTATGAACCCGATGCTGTGAATAAAAAAAAAAAAATCCATGCATTTGTTATGACTTTCAGGTCACAAGACAAAGGAATGGAAAATGTATATTTCGCAGGTAATATGGGGACATTTACTTTGGCATGCCCAGACAATGCGGAAACACGGCCTCTTCCCCACTTTTCCCATTAATTCAAGCATTATAAATTTACATACTCTTCAATTTTAGTAAATACAACTGGATTTTATTTGGGCTGTATTAAGTTTAGTGGAACTAATGTATCTGTGTCATCTTTTTTTGTGGAGTTTCTATATAAGTAAGCTAACCATCATTTGTCAGATAATTAAATGCTAAGATGAGTCCATCTTGAACCGGTTGGGTTATATTTTATTCTCAGATACATTTCTCTCTTGTGTGAGTCAACTAATTCTATGAGCTGACACACAATTTGAAGAGCCCTGGAAAGTAGTGCAATCCTGGGAAGACACCAGGAGGAAGTCCACTCTAACAGGCAGATTTAGAATGAGTTTCCAGTCTCTGGACATGCAGTGTCCTGAAGGTTAGGGATCACTACCACTCACTCATTCTCTTTCCACATGGTGCTATTGGGAGAGAGGATTTGGTGTTAGTAATTGATAATAATTAAAGCTACCACTTATTGAGCATTTGCCATACATTGAGTGCTCCACACACATACTTGTGAGTCACCACAACCTTCCTTAGCAATGGGTATTTTTTCTGCCCACTTCAAAGGGGAAAACACTGGGATTCATGGAGAGCAAGAAAAATCAAGAGAGCACATAGATAATTAGTCGAACCAGCATCAAAATCAGGTAACCTCAGCTCTACCAGATCCCACTTTATTCAAATTTGTTATATTTTGCTTGCCACATATTTTTTTGTCAGTTTTTATTTCTCAAAATATTGCATTAAAATATTATTTACCTTAATTTTTGAAAAAAAATAAAATCAGGTGACCTCCAAAGTGTGAGATACTTCCACCTTGCTAAGGAACCATTTCATAGGGAGGATTTGGGACCTTTGAGGAAAGTTCACCTGTCCAACTGGTGTTATGGTTAAGAGCACAGGCATGGACCTTAGATTAGGGTCAGATTTTGGCTTTCCCATCAGTTATTTGTGCATCTTGAGCAGCCTATCTTTTGTAATATTAATACCTGTCTTGGAGAGTGATGATGAGCATCAAATAAGATAATCCATGAACCAAACCCAGCACTTTCATCCATATGAGCTACTGTTATTCATTTTTTTTATAGTTTAGAAGGGAAAAAAATCTGTATGGTAGGCTATTACTCTTGCTGAGATCAGTGCTGTTCAATTAAACATGAGCTACTTTCAATTTTAAAAGTTTTCTAGGGACTACATTTTGAAAGTAAAATTAAGCAGGTGAAAGCAATCATAATAACATATTGTAAGCCAATATATCCAAAATTCATCATTTTGACATGCAACCAATATAAAATTATTCATGAGATCTTTTGCACTCTTCTGTTAGAACTAAATTTGGGAATCTAGTATGTATTTTACATTTAAAGTAATTCTCAATTCATACTACCCACATATCAAATGCTCTATAGACACACATGGTTGGGGCTGCCATGTGACAGTAGCTGTGCAAGTCAAAACATTAGAGTGCTGATGGGCATTCTTGTCCAGAACTCTAAAACTATAAAGACCATTGACTCAGCTGATTCACAGTCTTTCTTTCCCCTAACAATCAAAAGTCCAATCTAAAGCCATCCCCAGACCTAGGCCAGGAAGATGAAGTAGTCTCAGTGTTGATATACTCAGAAGAGAAAGTAGTCATGGTTGTGACTCATGACTAGAGGGGAAAAGGAACATACACATGCAGTGTGACAGTGAAGCCAGCTGAGAGTCTGCCCTACTGTTTTCATTACCTATAGACAAGGCTACCATTCACTGAAGATTGGTAGCAAGTGGTACTTAAGAATTATCAAAACTTGGAGGAAAGTGTCTATTTATCTTTGAGAACATAACAGAGCCATTTGCATACTGTGCATTTAGAAGAAAATGAACATGCCAGGTGTGGTGGTGCCTGCTTGTAATCCCAGCAGCTTGGGAGGCTAAGGCAGGGGAATGGCAAGTTCACAGCCAGGCTCGGCAATTTAGTGAGGCCCTAAATAATTCAGGCAGACTCTGTCTCAAAATAAAAAATGAAAAGGGGTTGGGGATGTGGCTTAGTGATTAAGCACCCCTGAGTTCAATCCCTAGTGCCCCAAACAAACAAACAAACAAAAAAACAAAGCAAAACAAAAACAGAAGCTTAATGAATTGTTTAACATCTGCTGTGCATTTTCTTTCCAGAGAAATATTAGTTCTTCAATAACCATATCATAGATGTTTAAATCAATAGCACAACAAATTTATGTCTAAATTCATAAGTACAATCTCATAAACATTGAGCTGATATTCTAAAATAATGTTTACTAAATAAAAATTCAAAAAAAATCTTGGCCAACAGAAATAAATATTACTGGTGTTTATTTCATTAATCCAAATTATTTTCTTTTGTGACTAAGTGCAGTGTCAATGTAACAGAGTTGATGAAATTTTCAGAATTCTTAAGAGAAGCCAATCTAATCAAGAGTGAAGAAGAAACCATTTTCATAAATAAACACCATGGACTGTTTTGGGGTGCGAGAGCTTCTTTTTAGAAGCTGGAGAAAATTATCTTTTTAAAAGATACTCTGTAATTTTCAATGGCAGTTCATCAAAATAACAGAGCAATAGAGCTGAGGATCACTCTTGCAAGGAGTCCACCACAAATATGCTGCTACTCTCTCTTTTATGAGCCTTTTATGAGAAATTGGTCCTCAGGAGAATCCTCTAGTGATGCTTCTTCCCAGCACTGCTGGAAGCTTTATGTATGTATTTTACTAGGTGTCCCAGTGGCCAACTTTGTACTAGAAGTCTTGAAGAATGGATGAAAAGTACTTATAGAAAAGTGTTCAGTAAACATAGCAATCAGGTCAAAGAATATAATTTTTTTGGTTAAAGATGTAAATTATTCTCAAATAATCCAGATGTAGACTCTATGAGATCATTCATTCAACAACACCATGCTTCATGCATAGCAGAGACAATTAGTCTTTTGAGTAAACCTCCCCACCCCCCTCTCTTATAAGGGCAACAAGATCTCTCTCCCCAAAGATTTCTTCACTTGCCACAGTGAGAAAATTACTTTTTAATTTTTATTTATTTAATTTTGTGGGGGCTGGGACCAAAGCCAGGGGGGCCTCATGCATGTTAGGCAAGCACTATACCATTGAGCCACATCTCCAGCCCCAAGAAAAATCTTTGAAATCTTCAAGAACTGTTGTTCAAGTTAGCCAATTCTCTCACCCCCACAAGTCATTTACACGTTAGTGTGAATGAATTAATTGGGTGACTCTCTCTCTCAGGGCAGAGAAACCAAAGAATTCACTGGGAACATGAAATAAGTGTGTCTTTCTTTACCTGAACCATGATGGAGAGCCCTTTCCTGTCACCTTGAAAAAGCAGCACTTCAGAGGGGGCTCTTTCTCCCATGCATCATTCACAAAAATGGAAGCACAGAATGCACTCCACATGTAATTCCCCTTACTCAGCAGCTAAACTCAAGTCACTATTTTAACCAATGCATTCTTCAGGACCAGTAATAATGATGCCTTACGGTTTTTTAAAGGATTCCCACAAAACACCCTCAAGGAATAATGAAATTGATTCTAAGGATAGAGGTAAATCTGATTTTTGGGTTTCATCAACACTCTCTTGTACATGTATATTTGAAAACATATACATGCCTCTTTTCAGTATTGTCCATAACAGAAGCACTTGGTTGAGCTGCTTTGAGTAATAATGTTCTGTAGTTAGTTCCCTCCCTTAGTTGTCCCCCTGAACCACAGCATTGGCCTTGCTTTGTGGGGGGACACTGCTAAGATAACTACCAGAGAATGAGATACTTGGCGAGTAGATCATGACGGTCTACTTGTTGGTCATCACCAAAGTAGAAAAGAGGCCATTCTTGTGGGCAAGTAAGTTTGGACCACTGTCACACTCCACTAAAATACCCTCAGAAAAGACTAACACAAGGCCTGCATCCATAATAGAGGAGACACGGTGCTGGAGAGAAAAATAGAAAGAAAAGAAGGATCAGCAGGAGGAAAATGTCTAAGTGACTCATTAAAACATAGTTTTTGTTAATTTGTAAACTTAAAAGTAAGCAGGAATGCACCCAAGGGGGAAGAGGAAGAGACAGAAATCCATGGCCTAGTTTCAGTAAGCTATAACATGAATTACAAGAATGTCAGCAACTCTTCTATTTGATTGGTGCTACCTAAAACAGAGAAATGACCTGCCCCCTTCTGTGATGTATCTGTCTTCCTCTTAAAAACAGATAAATTAAGAATAGAAAGATAGAAAATAAGAATAAATAAGTAGTAACAGAATTGATAACTAAATTTAGGAATTTGGTTCCAGAAACTTCTCATCAAATCATCAGATCACTGAAAACAGAATTAGCACAGGCCATGACCTGCTGAAATCCTTAGATTTCACTGCAACTCAGAAGCACTGGGTAGAGCAGACAGTGTGGAAAAGAACAAAGCTTTTGAAATATAGATATTATTTTGTCTCCTTTTGCACAGATACAGAAACATCAGAGAAATACATAATTCATTATAAGTACATTTCAACTGCACAAGTTTAAAGATCATAAAATCTAAGAATAAGAACTCAGGAGGAGTACGTGACCCCATCTCCCATACTCACAGCTATGGTGACAACAGTGCGGTCTGCAAAGGCTGTCATCACGACTTTCTGCAAGATATTTTCCTGGCAAAAGAATTTAAAAAATAAAGTGTAAATTTTCTTGGGACTACTTTCTCTTACCATAATATCTTGCCCTCAAGAACAATATCCCATTATGCCCAATCCCTTCAGAGTGCTCTGTCCCCAGGTCTTCTGTGGAAGATAGGAGGGAGCAGTTCCTAGCAGCCAGCTCATATTGGATTCTGAAGGTGTCTTCAAAATGCAGGTAAGCTCAGCAATCAACCTGAAGTCACTGATGTATTTATTGCTAGGGAATCCAAAGAGGAAAATTCAACCTCTTGGGTATCAAAATGCTCATGTATTCAAAACTAACCAAACCCTCAAATAGTGCTAACCTTTGAGTCAGAAAATGGAAAAACTGAAATCCATGTCAAAATTTTAGATTTTATTTTTTACCTATAATACAATATATCAGAAAGAAACTATATTAATTCCCACAACAAACTGCATTATCATTATATTTTTTAAAAAATATTTTTGTTGTCAATGTATCTTCTATTTACTTATTTATTTATTTATATGCGGTACTGAAGTTCAAACCCAGAGCCTCACACATGCCAGGCAAGGGCTCTATCACTGAGCCACAACCCCACCCAATATTTTAAAAGATGTTCTGGGTAAAGATTTCACCTTTCTCCTAGAGGAAAACTTGATTCACCTAAATCTTAACAGTGGAGGAGTTCTTTCTTCCAGTCAACTGACTTACTGCTGCTTAATTCATATTTTCTCCATGTCCCTCTCTCTTTCTGTAGAGGCAGTATTATCTTTATAGTAACCTTCAATATTTTAAATCCTTAGTAATTAATACCAATTTTGATGTACTTGTGCTTAGAGAAATGGATTCATTAGAGACTACTTTATAGCTTTAAATCATGTTCACTTTGAGGTTATCTGTCTTTGGATAGGTATTTTGATTAGTCTTAATAGAAAACACGTGAAATAGCATCTCCATTTATAATTGGCTCTTACTCTTGAAATTGTTTCACTTCTCTGGATAGCTTCACTCAATCTAAAGTGTTCAGCAAGAAAGTAACATGAGGCTGTTGATTTTTTTTTTTAATTGATGCCCTTTCTGATGCCAAACTTTAAATATCAAGTTGACTTTCAAAAGAATAACATCAATTGCTAACTCAATACATAGTCTCTGGTTTAATGTGACACTGCCCTCATTCAATCACAGCCTTCTAGACAGATATTTCTTGGACATTTTTGACACTTTTTAAAAAGATTCCTTTCAAATGGCAAAGTTTCTAGCTTTGTACCATGAGCACATGAAGAAAGCCATTATTAATTCTAGACATTATTAATCCTAGCAGATCTCTCTTCAAATTGCTTCAGAAAATGATTGGTTTTGGTTATAAATAGCTTATTCATAAAAGATTTACATTCTGTAAATGAACATCCATGGCATAGTTCTTGAACACTGTACAGAGGTCTCATCAGCCAAGCCCTAAAATTACACTGATTTGAAACTTTATCAAAAAGTGATGGCATCATACAGTGTAAGAAATCACTAAAACTTATTCCTCCAGTCTAAACTGATTTGATGTCTTTTATTTCTCCATTCCTTTTCTCTCACTTGCCCCTGGCCTCTAGTAACAGCCTTCTACTCCGTTTCTATGAGATCAATGTTTTTTTGTTTCATTTTTTGGTACCAGGGATTGAACTCAGGGGCACTTGACCATTGAGCCATATACCCAGCCCTATTTTGTATTTTATTTAGAGACAGGGTCCCACTGAGTTATTTAGTGCCTCACAGTTGCTGAGGTTGGCTTTGAACTCATTCCTCCTGCCTCAGCCTCCTGAGCTACTGGGATTACAGGCGTGTGCCACCACACTTGGCTAAGATTAATGTTTTTATATTGAATATATAGTGAGATCATAGCGTATTTGTCTTCCTGTTATCATATAGTATTTTACTTAGTATAACATCCTCTGGTTCCATCTATGTTGTTACAAATGACAGAATTTCTTTCTTTTTAAAGACTTTATAGTATTCCATTATCTCTATATATCATATTTTCTTTACCCCATCATCTTGGGCACTTAGTTATGTTCATATGTTGCCTATGTGGATGATGCCAAAATGAACATGAGAGTGCAGATATCTCTTTGACATAATGATTTAAATTTCTTTGGATATATATCCAGTATAAGGATTGCTGGATCATATGGTAGATCTATTTTTAGGGAGTTTGTTTGTTTTTGGTACCAGGGACTGAACTCAGGGGCACTTACCACTGAGCCACATCCCCAACTTTTTTATTTTTTATTTTTAGACAGGATCTCACTAAATTGTTAAGGTCTTTGCTAAGGTGCTGAGATTGACCTTGAATTTGTGATCCTCCTGCCTCAGTCTCTCAAGCTGCTGGGATTACAAACATGCATCACTGCACCTGGCTATTTTTAGTTTTTGAGGAAACTTTACACTCTTTCCAAAATGACTGTACTAATTTATATTTTCACCCAATAATGTACAAAGATTCCGTTTCCCCCACATTCTCACCAACACTTGCCATTTCTTGTCTTTTTGATAATAATCATTAAATGGCAGAGATATATTGTACTGCATGGTGACTTTAGTAAGTCAAAAGAACAAGCAAACATTTAACTTGGACAAGGAAGTAATTAAAAACCAAATCATTCTGCAGAATAGCATGGTCACTCATAATGTATGATATATTTAAAAACTGCAAAAATAGATATTTTTTACATTCTCGCTACAAAAAATGATAAATTGCTGAGGTTATCAATATGTTAATTGCGTTGATTGAGTCTTTCTATAATGTATATGCAGAGCAAAGCACCACATGGACCATTGAACCCATAAACAAACACCATTACTATGTACCAACTAAACATCAAAAAATAATTAAGCAGTGAAACAAAATAAATAAGGAATATAGTAAAGAGTATCTGAAATTTATTTTTCCTTTCCTTACAAAATTTCTGCATGTCTGAAATTATGTCAAAATAAAAATGTGGGGCTGAGGTAGTAGCTCAGGGGCAGAGCGCTTGCCTTGCAGGCACGAGACCCTGGGTTCAATTCTCAGCACCACATAAAATAAATAAATAAGTGAAATAAAGGTATTGTGTCCAACTACAACTAAAAAATAAATATTGAAAAAAATTAAAATGTTATAAAAAGGAAAAAAAGGTGAATTTATTTATGTTTATTGGCAATGGAAACTCCTTTAAAGTATACGCAATGTCTCATTTCTCATAAATCTCAGTATGATTCTCAGTGGATCAAAGAGATTGAGGAATCACTTAAAACAACAGTATTGAGGATTCAGAACCCAATCAAAAAATGTAATTTTCATGCACACTTCTCCAATTCATTATTTTCAGAGTTTGGATATGCACTCACTGTGGCCATGTCAATGGAAGCCGTTGCTTCGTCCATAATGAGAATGCTGCTCTTTCGGACAAAGGCTCTAGCCAGGCAAAACAGCTGTCTCTGTCCAACGCTAAAGTTCTCCCCACCTTCAGTGACAACTGCATCTAAGTCAGAAGAAGCAGCAAAGATTTAATTGAAGAAATTCTATTAATATTTTCCATGGACAAAGAAGTAATTTAAAAATGAATCATGCTGGTATCATTTTGTGCTGGTGTAAGTATTTCCTTCTGAAAGGCAAAGTGGAACTTGACTTTTGGAAAGTGAATATGATGGTAGGCATCCTGTTTTTCTTTTCCTTTTCCTTTTTTGTCATACTGGGGATCGAACCCAGAGCTTTGCAGGGGCTAGGCAAGTGCTTAACCACTAAGATACACCCCTGGCCCATTCTTATTTTACTTCAAGACGGGGATTGATAAATTGCCCAGGTTTGCCTCAAACTTGTAATTGTCCTGCCTCAGCTTCCTGAGTAGCTGGTATTACAAGGGTACGACGTCACCACACTCAGCAGGTCATTCCTAATTTTGACAACATATGGTGAATTATCTACTAAGAGTCGAATATAAAATATTGTTAAACATTTTGAAGACTAGAAGGCCTTGAGGTTTATTTATTTACTATAATTCTTTAAAATGATTCTTTAATATGATTATCTAAGTCTCAGAAAGAGGACGTGGTTTGTCCAAACTAATATATAGTAGGACCTGATAAGAAACAGAATATTCACAATACTAATTCCAGTTCTCTTTCCATTCTACCATTCCCATAGACTGGAACTACCAAGTGGACAGGACTGGGCTTGTTTCTGTTGGCCAGTATATTTCTAGTATGATGATAGCAGCTGAATAAAATACCACTGTGCAGCTAACTGAATGTGTCTCATTGTGCTTTACTTCTTTTTTATTCATTTCCATCCACGTTTCATAAACTGCTACTATGAATATAATAAAAATTCTGTTTCCAAAATATCTCTTTTATTAGAATTCAAACACTTTTTAGTATGGTCCTGGGCCAAATGTCAATTTATTTTATTCCCATGCATCAAATTCTTATACTCCCCCTGCTTGAAAGCTGTGTATTTAATCATCAAATTTTAATTTACATAATAAATAAGAATGATTCTCAGGATGATGAATGTTCTTTATCAGAGCTGGCTTGAACCAGATCTTCATTAAGCAATTGGTGTCATCTTTATTGAGATAATAAGTACAATGTTCAGTAAATTATATGGTATAAAAATAATCCTTTGTTGCTTACACCATACTATAACCTACAAGCTCTACGGCCACAATTTAGAGTAGGTGCATTCAGCTCTCATGTTAGTGAAAAGGATTATATGGTTTTAAATGTCTGTCTTTCCAGCTATTAATGGTGGTGGGGACAAATAATCAAGAATTATTATTGGAAAGTTCATCCAAATTTCTGAAATTATTCTTGCAACCTGATACTAGCAAGGTCAATAAAACTTTTTTT